TGCCTCAGCCTCCCGAGTAGCTGGGACTACAGGCGCCCGCCACCTCGCCCGGCTAGTTTTTTGTATTTTTTAGTAGAGACGGGGTTTCAACGGGTTAGACAGGATAGTCTCGATCTCCTGATCTTGTGATCCACCCGTCTCGGCCTCCCAAAGTGCTGAGATTACAGGCTTGAGCCACCGCGCCCAGCCACATTTATATATTTTCAAAGTGTGATTATATATTTCATCCCTTCCTGGTCTCCCTGTAGTCATGGAGAAGTATAGATAGCATTTGCATTATTTGTTCCTATGATATATATAGAGAAACTGAGGCAAATGGGGGTGGTCCGGGACATAGATCTGGTTTCAGTGACTGTCTTAGTCTGTTTTGTGCTGATATAACAGAATGCCAGAGGCTGGGCAACTTATAAAGAAAATAAATTTATTTCTCACAGTTCTGAAGGCTGGGAAGTCCAATATCAAGTTGCTGGCATCTGGGGAGTGTCTTTTTCTGTGTCACCCCATGGCAGAAAGTGAGAGGGTGAGAAAGAGGAGTTGGGAAATTGTGGGAAATCAAACTTGTCCTTTTATAATGAACTCATTCCTGTGACAATGGCATTAATCCATTCATGAGGGTAAAGCCTGCATGGCCTAACCACCTCTCATTAGGCCTCACCCCCCAACACTATTGCATTGGGGATTCCAGTTTCCAATAATGCTTTCTTGGGGACACATTCGAATCATAGCAATGGCAGATAAAAACTCATGGCCTAGAGCTCATGACCGTCAGTTTAGGGATCTTCTGAACCAAACTGTCATTCACCCTTATGTTAGACAGCAGTATGAGCATGCTTGCAATTTCACAATGTCACAGAAGGTGGGGGACCTTCTATAATATGTCCCCTATGCATTTTTGTGATGGAACATCAGAATATAATAAATTAGTGATACAGAAGTGCTGGGAAGTGAAGGGTGTGGTCCCTTTAAATGATAGGGAAGGGGAGAGGGACATGCTTATGTGTGCCCAAGGACTTGGTGAGGACAGGCATTTTTGTTTTCCTGCCCAAATATTGCATTTCCCAAGACCACCCTGGCCTGCCACGCCCCCATCCTGTGCCTATAAAAACCACAAGACCATAGCAGGTAGACACACAGGTAGCTGGACATCGAGGGGAACACATCAGCGGAAGAACACACGGGCAGCTGGATGGTGAGTGGAACACACTGACACCAGCAGGCCACCAACTGGCAGAATGAGATGGAGTTTGACTGGGGCAGTCGGAGGAGAGCCTGGGCCGTCAAGCAGCCCGACTCCAGGGGAAAACCATCTCCCTTTTGGTTCCTCCACCTGCTGAGAGCTACTTCCACTCCATGAAACCTTGTAATCATTCTCCAAGCCCATGTGTGATCTGATTCTTCTGGTACAGCAAGGCAAGAACTCCAGGATACAGAAAGCCCTCTGTCCTTGCAATATGGCAGGGGTTTAATTGAGCTAACACAACCACCCATGGACGGCTAAACTAAAAGAGCACCTTGTTACACATGCCGACTGGGGCTTTGACTGTAAACAGTCACCACAGACACTGCTGTGGGGTCAGAGCTCCACAGCCTGCCTATCTGTATGCTTCCCTAGAGGTTTGTGCAGCGGGGATTGAAGAAGTGAGTCACACCCCCATTGCATGCCCTTTGAAGGGGACAAGGGAACTTTTCCCGTTTCATTAGGAGTTGGCAAACTAAGACTCGTGGGCCACATTGTCCATTGCCTGCTTGTGTAAGTAAAGTTTTATTGAAACATAGTCACACCTACTCATTTACTATTGTCTATGGCTGCTTTTACATTACAAAGTTGAGTAGTTGCAAGGGAGACTGTATTGCCCACAAAGTCTAAAATATTCACTATTGGTCCTTCACAGAAAAAGTGTGTCAGTCCCTGGAATAAATGAATCAAATGGAAGTAAATGGAAAAAAAAAAAAAAAAGGATTCATTCATTCATAATAGGCAGTGTATCACAACTGAAAAACATAGTGAAAACTGTTTTCGGACAAACCCAGGTCAGAATCTCACCTTCGCCACTTGGTTGAAAAACTTTGAACAAATTATTTTTACTCTTTGGGCCTGTTTCTGCATCTATCACCTTGTAAGGTTGCTGTTTGATAATTCTATGATCCAATGTAATGTATCTGTTACAGTGTAATTTATCTGTTATTAGGTTTGACCCCATACAATAGAAAACACAAAATAAAAGCGACTTACACAGGACAGCAACTTTTTCTTTCATGTGGAGGTCTGAAGGACAGTGGGTGTTGATTGGTCCGGTGCCTCCTGCACTAGGAACCCACGCCTCTTTCATTTTGTTGCTTTGCTGTGTATGGATTTCATTCCCGAGGTCCTTTCATGGTTCAACATGGCTGCTGGAGCAAATAAAAAATCAAATACACAAAAGCCTAGAGAAAGAGCCATCCATAGAGGCCAGGCAGCAAATCCACTTATTCAAGTCTAGCCAAGATGAGACCCCCTTGCCACAGTGCATGAAACCAGCATATTTCACTTATTCCGTTCTTGGGGTATGTTGAAGCAGATCTGGAAGCAATGTCTTCTGTGTATTAAGCATCTAACACTTTACAAAGCATTTTCATATGTCTTACCACACTTATTCTTCATAATGCTCTGAAAAGGTAAGATGAATAGATCTTAATATCATTATTCCTGTTGAACCCTTGATTCACACAGCTGCTGAGTAACAGATTCCAACGAGTCTACAGCTAGGTCTTTGGATATGTTGCTGGTAATGAAAAGGTGAACAATCATGGTGCAGAAGAAAGAAAATGAGCCAAACGAGGATCCCTGGTAGAGTTGCAGTGCAAAGACTGGGGCTAATTGTGTGGCCTCAGCCTCACTGGGCTGTTCTCACCTGTAAGACCAAGATAAGAGCACTCATTTACTTCTGGGGTTGTTGTGAAGATAGCAGACAATCTTACTGCACCTGCCACTTAAGATCAGTTCAGTGAAATTATTATCTTTCACAGGTGTGTCTTTGGAAAATCACTTCCCCTTCCTGGATCTCAGTTTCCTTTTCTAGGAAAACGACATATTTGGACTCAGCGACTGCTAAACTTGTCTCCCCAATCTCGAGCTCCCTCAGCCTGGGATCGTGCCTTTTATAAAATAGCTCGGATTGGAGCTCAGGTTGGAATTCTCCCTTTGATTGCTTCCTAGCTGTGTGTCCTAGTAAGAGCTAAAAATTTCGGATTCCCCACATCTGTAGAACAGGGATACATAACATGTAGATTATTAGAAAGGGAAGGCATGTGAGAATTAAGTGAGTTGGGTGTCCAGTACCCAGTAAATTGTAAAACTTCTCAAAGGCAGGGACCCATCTGTTTTGCATATTTACAGAATGTCATACGTTGAAGTACAGGCTTGGCCACGGGGTTAGAACATTTCTGTAAAGAGTAAGGAACCAGACACAAAGCAAGCAATCAAGAATTGTAACCATGCAATATTCTTATTATTGCTTACACTCGCCTACAATAGTCCTGGTGTTTAGTAAACTAACACAGACACCCATCCGGGGCTGCGAAGAGTCCGCCTGGGTGAGCTCCGCAAGGTGAGACCCCAGAGCTGGGAACTCGCAGTCTGAGCAGTCGCAGCCTAGCCGGTCTTAGGTCCGCACTCCTCGCGCCTTGCCCAGCTCTGCCCGCGGAGGTGCCGGCCAATCCCACGACCGGTTCAAAGGGCCAATCAGGCCGCGCTTTACAGGGGCCGCGCCTGACGCGGCGGGGCCGTGCGCGAGGCGGTGCTGCAGCCGCCCCCGGGACCGCCCTGCCCAGGCGCCGTGGGGCTCGGCGCGGCTACGTGCGGAATCTCTCTAGCTAAAATGTAATTTCAGATTGGACAAGTACTGTAAGTGACCCGCCTCTCAGTCCCACGTGGGCGCCGGCGGCTTTTGCTGGCGCGCAGGCTCTCAGCGCGCACGCCCAGAAAGAGGCTTCTCCAGCCCGGCCCTTCCCTCCCTTTTGCCGCAGTAGTTGCCTCCTCTTGCCCTTTCTCCTCCTCCCCTTTCTCCTCCTCCCCTTCCTCCTCCTCTGGCCGCTTAGTCTCACACCCGCCGGGCCGTTGCTCCCGAGACGTTGTTGAGTCCCCTGTGTCCTCTTCTGGGTGAGGCGTCCGGCCACTCAAGGGAAGGGAAGGGAAGGGTCGGCCTTGACTGTATCCAAGGCTGCCCGTTAGGTGTCTGGAACCCGTGCTGCTTCCTCTCCGATCAGTGCCCATTTGACTATATTCAGTTCTCTTTCTCGCCTCCGCTTACCCTTGTAGGACATTTTCCCAGCATTTGAGGAGCCCTTAATTCACGTCTGGCTACCGAAGGCATTTTTAGGCTAGTGTTGCTTGTAGCTTTAAACGCTTCTAGCACTTGTGATAATGTTTGAGGCACAGATGAGTTTAGATGAGATAATGCTGTTTGTTTACAGTTGTCCTGAGTAGGAAGGCCTAGGGATATCTTTCCATTTTTATCCGTTTCCTTTTTATTTGAAGATTGACAAGGAGCCGGGCGCGGTGGCTCACGCCTGTAATCTCAGCACTTTGGGTGGGCCAGACGGGCGGATCACGAGATCAGGAGAATCGAGACCATCCTGGCTAACACGGTGAAACCCCGTCTCTGCTAAAAATACAAAAAATTAGCTGGGCGTGGTGGTGGGCGCCTTTAGTCCCAGCTACTCGGGAGGCTGAGGCTGGAGAATGGCGTGAACCTGAAAGGCAGAGCTTGCAGTGAGCTGAGATCGCGCCACTGCACTCCAGCCTGGGGGACAGAGCGAGACTCCGCCTCAAAAAAAAAAAAAAAAAAAAAAAGATTGACAAGGTGCAAAAATGGTGAATTTCCCTCATCTTGGGCTGTTTTCCACTAAAGCACTTCTGTGTCTTAACACAAATTTCTTCCCTGAAGAGTCAGTCATGACGTGACCAAAGTCTGAAAAGCAGTTATCCTTAGGTTAAATTTTAAAGTATGAGACCAGGAGGGGTGAGGTGCTTATTCTTTTGAATTGTAAATCATAAAGAAGGGAGAGTCTTTTATGTTGTGGCTGTTATTTAAATGGTAGAGTTTTGCTTTGTATAGTTTTTGCTTGCTTTTCCTCTTTTTTTCTGTGATCCACCACGTGTATGTCCTGATTTTTTTCCTTTTTAACTTGCTTGCTGGATTTTCCAGCCAGATGACTGCCGCTTGGTCTTCTGGGAGTCTCCTGTTAATGGGGCCCTCATGCTTGGCTCTTGACCTGATGGCCACTGGCCTGGCTCTTGGAGGACCTCCTAGTGGGAGGCCCAGAGCACTGTTATTAAGGATGATTTGGGGAACAGATCAGAGGGGGTCAGCTGGGCCTGGAGATCGATTTTGAGGGGGAGGGAGGTTGGGAGCCTGCCTGGCTGGATTTGGAAGTCAAAACATGTGTGCTGGGAGAAGGGCATAACCCCAGAGGGTGGAGAACTGTGTCTTTCTGGATGAAATTAAGAAGTTTACTGGGAGGAGGCTGGGCCTTCCAGGCGGTGTTAGTTTTTGCTGTGGGCCTTGTCTTTTCCTGGAATTTGGTTCCCTTTCCCTAACCTTTCACTTATTAGTTTAAATAGTTCCCTTTACCTAACCTTTCACTTATTGATTTAAATAGTTTAAATCACAGTCAATTACCAGCTGGTTTTTAAAACAATTTGAGGTAATGAATCTTGCCCTTAATCTCCTAGCCAGAGTGGAACCCCCCTACCCCTACCCTCAAGGGGATTTGAAATGATTCTTTTACCAGAATGTGCTACAGAGATCACTTACTCTCTCACCCGCCCACCTTTTTATAATGGAGGGACATAGAATCAACCCAAGTGGTGTAAGAGATCATCCAAATCAGTTCTTCATGTATTCATTTGTTCACTCATCTTGTCCACATACTTTGGGCCCAGAACGGTGGTATCTCTGGGAAAGAGCAGATGAGTAAGACTTGGTCTCTGCTTTTAAGCTTTCATCCATTTTGCTTCAATCCACTTTTATGAGGGAGATTATGTAATAGTGAGATGAGCACAGTGAAAAGTATGCAGAAGACTCCCAGGAGTTGAGAGAAGGGCAAATGGCTCAACATGGGGAAGCCAATTGAGGAGGACTTCCCGGAAGGGACTACTAGAGCTGAGTTCCAAAGCCTAAGTATCAGTGGGCTGGAGAAAGGGCGAGGGAGTTTATGAACCAGGAACAGCATGTGCAGAACTACAGAAACATGGCACATGGTTGATTAGTATGGCTGCGCAGGAAAGGCTAAGGTGGAAAGTCACCCGACAGGAGGTTGGGGAGGGTGAAGGCCAGATCAGGAAGGGTCTAGTGAATCATCTTAGGGGAGTTTGAAATATATCTGCAGGGCAAACAGTGATGCTCTCAGGTTTATGTTATAGAAAATTAATTCTGGCTGCAGTTTGGAGAATGAATTGGATTGGTAAAGCCTGGATAGAGATAATTGTAGTAATATAGGTGAGAGAGGTGTTAGGGTGTATAGTTATGGGAATGGAGAGAGATTAGGAAAATAGAATGGTTAGGAATGTTATAAAGTTTTGGTGCCACAAAAGAAATAGCACTTGAATATCAAATTTTCTTTTTTTCTTCTCAGCAAGGCAATTTACTTCTATAGAAGGGTATGCCCTCACAGATGGAGCAATGGTGAGCACACAGCTGGATAAGGGAGGGGAAGGGGGTCTTATTCCTGATGCACGTGGCCCCTGCTGCTGTGTTGTTCACCTGTTGGCTAGGGTTAGACTGCACAGGCTAAACTAATTCCAGTTGGCTAATTTAAAGAGAGTGACAGGGTGAGTGGTTTGGCAAGAAAAATGGTTATGGCAGAGCAGGAAATTGGAATGAGTCAGGGTGGAGAATGAGCAGGTAATCGGAATGAATCAGTGAGTCTGGGTGGAGCAGGTGATCGAAAAAGGTTGCTTTATGAGGAAGTTAAGTTTAAAAGTAGAAAATAATTGAACATACTGACATATGAATTCTTTGAAGAGAAATTTAGAGCTCATATCTAATGGAAATTAATTACTGATTGAGTGTAGGGATAAGAAGGAATGTAGTCATCAGTAGGTGTTCTTGAGTGGGCTGTTTTGTAGCAGCTTTAGTGAGGAATAATTGACATCCAATAAACTGTACCTATTGAGAGTGCCTAATTGGAGAAGTTTTGTTATATACATATATCTATGAAAACCATCATGACCATCAAAAGAACATACCTGATAACCCCAAAGATTGCTTGTACCCTTTTTAATTCCTCTTTGTATACCCTCTAAGGTAAAGTATATCTTAAATCTTTTGTCCATTTAAAAAAATGAGCCTTTTATTTTCTTTTTATTGAGCTTTGAGAATTCTTTATTATTGTAATTTCTTTATCACATGTAACTTGCAAATATTTTCTCTTATTTTGATGCTTGTCTCTTAAGAGTGTCTTTTGAAATCAGCATTAATTTTGATGAAGTCTAATTTATAATTTTGGTTAAATAAATGTTACCGATCTGATTTTTTATGGATCATGTTTTTTTTGTGTTTTATCTAAGATATCTTTGCTTAACCTAAGGTTTCAAATATTCCTCCTATTTTTAAAAGAAGTTTTGTCATTTTTGGTTTTATATTAATGCTGTGATCATTTTAAGATAATTTTTGTATAGGACATGAAATATGGAATCAAGTTTTTTTTGCATATGGCTATCCAGTGGTTCCAGCACCATTTGCTGAAAAGCCTACCTTCGTTGAATTGCCTTTGCACCTTTGTTCAAAAATCAATTTACCATGTATACATTGGCGCAATTTTGTGTTTTATTTTGTTCAATTGATCTCTTGTCTATTTTAATGCCAATACCACATAGTCTTGATAAATATAGCTTTGTAATAAGTACTGAAATCAGCTAGTATAAGTCCTTTAATTTTGTTCTTTTTAAAATTTGTTTTGATTATTCCATATGAATTTTATAATCACTTTGTCCATTTCAAAATAAAGGCCTATTTAGATCTTAACTGGAATTATATTGAATGAATACATTAATTTAGGGGGAGAATTGACATTTGAAATACCAAGTCTTCTGACCCATGGACACATTATATCTGTTCATTTATTTAAGTCTTCCTTATTTCTCTAGGCAATATTTTGTAGCTCTCAATACATAGGTCTTACACATCTTTGTTGAATTATCTGTAGGTATTTCCTATTTTTTGATGATATTGTAAATGATATTAAAATTTTAGGTATTTTAAAAATTTAATTTCCAATTGTTTTCTTGCTACTGGTATATTGATCGTGTATCCTGAAATCTTGCTAACGTGCTTATTATTTCTAAGAGCTTTTTTTTAAATGCCATCAGATTTTCTATTTAGGTGATCCTGTCATCCGTAAATAAAGATAGTTTTACTTCGTTTCCAATGAGGTTGCCTTTTATTTTTCTTGCTGTATTCCACTAGCCAGAACCATTGCTTTACATAGAACTGATGAGAGCTGACATGTTGCCTTCTTCCTGATCTGAGGGAGATGCATTCATTTTTTCATCATTAAGTATGATTCATGATGCTAGTTGTATATCTTTTGTAGATATGCTTTATCAGGTTTAGGAAGTTTCATTGTATTCCTGCCTTACTGAGAATTTTTTTAAAGGAATAATGGATGTTGTAATTTTGTTGTTTTTCCTATGACTGTTGTGATCTCTTGTTGCCCAGGATGGAGTGCAATGGCGTGATCTCAGCTCACTGTAACCTCCACTTCCTGGGTTCAAGTGATTCTCTTGCCTTAGCTTCCCAAGCAGCTGGGATTACAGGCATGCGCCACCACACCCAGCCTTTTTTTTTTTTTTTCCAGTAGAGATGGGTTTCTTCCTGTTGGTCAGGCTGGTCTTGAACTCCTGACCTTAGGTCATCTGCTCGCCTCGGCCTCCCAAAGTGCTGGGATTACAGGCGTGAGCCACTGCGCCTGACTGATCATTCGTATTTTTAAAAAAGATTCTTAATGTGTTGAATTACATTTATTGATTTTTTTTTTCCAGTGTTAAATCTTGTGTTCCTGAGATAAACCCTATTGGTCAGGGCATATTATCCTTTTTTTATATTGTTGAATTTTATTAGCTGAAGTTTGAAGAATTTTTGTATCCATCCTTATGAT